TATTCTATCTATTTTATTTATTGAATTTTATTGTTTTATTTATATTTTGATATTGCTAGGGATGATGCAATGATCGGGGACCATTCTTCATTTCGTTGTTCTCGTGACAATGACAATAAAGTTTCTGATTCTGATTCTGATATGATTTTATCCTCAGAGTGCCTCAACAACCCCCGTCTTTGTGTTGAGTTTTAATTTTATCAATTAAAAGCGTTGCAGTGACTATAATAATTAAAACAAAGACATACAGCAGCTATAACTGCAGTTAATTCCTCCAAGATAAAATAAAATGTTCTAGATGGATGTGACATCTAACTGCACCAGCGCGGTCCTCTTATAGAGTGACTTTCATACGTTTTGTTGGTGGGTTCATCTGGAACGCCTCTGTTGGATGCGACGAGTTGATCTTCAAGCAACTCCTTCATGCTCTGGACTTGCTGCAGTGCCTGTTTGTAGCTGTGTGGATTCGGGAAGCCTGAGGGACCCAGCTGACTCAACTCACTGTCGATGCGACACAGTTGTCTGTACAGATACTGGCTTTTGTTTCTGTTCTTTTGAATCACCCCCTCTGCCAATGCTGGATAAGCGCTGCTATCTGAAAATGTACATATATTATTACTTGGAAATCTCAAGGAAGCACATGATATGATGTGTTCAGAAAGCAAAAATTGCTTTGTTTGCAGAAATGTGATTGTTGGCAGCGTTTTCAAATTCTGTCTTTACTTGTTTCAAACAACCACTTTGTCATATAAGCAAGTATCTTCTGGATGATTTCAGAACTCTGCAGTCTCCGTCCTTTCAGGCAAATTTTCATCTTTTATGCCTCTTTGAATTAACAGCTGATTAAAAACAACGTCCATTAAATTTGTAGCACGCCACTTAAATTTACTTTGCATGTTATTCAAAAGCAAAAGAACAGACACCAAACTGTTTGTGAGACCTTCTGATATGTAAGTACTAATATACTGGGCTGGGTGAAGCAGAAAAAATGCTCTAGCACTTCAATTTGACCCTTACTGCGAGAGCTGTGATCATAAAGTTATCTGACTACACTTGTGAAAAGTCCAAAGGTCGAGTTAGCTGATCTCCCCTCTAGTTTGTATCCAGAGGCACTCGAAGACATGAATTCTATTCTACGCACTCGTATGTGGTGCAGAGTTCACATGTAAAAAATTTGTGTCCAACTGACTCCGGCTTCAAACCAAAGTACTTCTCAGTAGACCTCACCCCAATGGCAAAGCATCGCTCGAGGAAGATGCAGCATTCACCATAAATTCATTTTCTAGGCTCAGACAGTCAGCGTGTTCTAAGGTAACATCCTAAAGAGCCATGAAACCCAGAAGATTTGCTCTACACTGCTTCAGCGTGGTGTGTGCTGATACTCAGTGGCACGCACCACAGTTGAAGAGGCAGGTGATTTTGGCCTCAGCAGCACAATCATTCATCAGCAGGCGCCAGATTTGGCTCCCTGCAACTTTGCTCTTGTTTTTAGAAAGCTACTTGCACTTCAGTGGCCACTTTATTTCCTCCAGTGTGTCACGATGTCCGTGCTTCAACTTTAGTTTTGTTTTTCTGAACAGTATAATGTTGAAACTGATATAGAAGTACCCAAGAATATGTTCTTAACGGGCAGGCCGCCCAAACTTAAATAAGATGGGGGTTTGGGGCAGTGTTGCAGCACTTTTGGTTGATCATGATCAATTATTAACACGAGAACTCACCTGATAGCTGAGGCTGTGTTTCTGTCTCGATATTTTCACTAGCTGTGTTATTCTGTGTGATTAAGTCTTTCAACACAGAAAGAATAGCATTGACATCATTTTCTTGTTCAGGCACAAACTTAATCTCCTTGCATGCGACGTTGCTTTTCATCGTCTTAGAGAGCGAGTGGGCAATTCTTGTGATGTCCTAAGGGGAAGCACATTCAATACCAAATTTTGATACCAAATGAAGTGTATGCACATTAGAGAAATTCTTCTAAACTCACAAAACCATCAGTATTTGTAACACGTGCAAAAAGGTTTGTCATAAGGCTTGGGTGCCAGTTTAGCAGCACCTTAATATTAAATGCAGAAACACAAAAACAGGAAACACCTACCTTAATGATAACATCTAAAGACACTCTGTTAGTCATGTCCGTTGTGGCAGAAGAATCTTGTGTGTTCTTTTTCTTTTTTTTGCGCTGGCAACAAGAAAACTCCCGAGGACGAGTGAATCTGAAAATACTGACTATGAGGATATTGACGGGAAACATGATGAGGGAACTCTGAACTCCAATCATGAACTGCTGCCAAGTAAACTCAAAAGTTCCTGAAAATACAAATGGGAATTAGATTAATTAGATCTGGACTTTTTCACACTTTTTTAAAAGTAAATCTAATGGCAATACATTTTTGATGTACCTAGGTCCATTACTTGGTCAGAGGGATCTTTTGGGATCCCATAAAACATGATACTGGTTAACATGGTACAGAGCAGCAGAGAAAAACAGCAGGACACTCTCTGCACACGGGTGAAGTGGCTGCTCGGTGGTCGACTGATCACCGAAATCCAGAGGTGTCCGTCATTGAAATCCTTTGTTGTCTTTGTGAAGAACAAATTGCTGAAAGATAAAAGCAACATTGTAAAAATCAAATGTTTTAAACCTTCATAAACAGTTAATTAGTGATTGATTAGCATCACATTTTAATCTTTTTCTAATTCCTGTAAAACACTATTGTAGATCTGAAGCATTTGGAGGTTTTAGAGCCTAAAGAAAAGCGAATAATCCCCACTAAATCACCAGATCAGCGCTTAAACCAAATATTTAGCTACTCAACTGGGATGAGAAGAAAGTGGCAGCTTTTACTGGGTTTCATTTCATCTTTGGAAATTCAGCTAAATTCAAATAAAACAATAAATTGTTCTGTAGTCACATGTTTTTTATTCTTTCAGCTGGTTCCCTTAGTCACCATGGTAGATCATCTGCCTCTATCTCACTCTATCCCCAGCTTCTTCTGTCACACCAACCCACTGTATGTCCTCTATCACATCATCCATGAATCTTCTCTGTGGTTTTCTTCTTTTTCTCCTGCTTGGCAGCTCAGCATCCTCTGTCCAGTGTGTCCACTCTCCCTCCACCTTGCATTTTAATCATACCTGGGCCTAATAATTTCTTTCTGGTAGCCTTGTGAAAGTCCACAAGCACTGGTAGATTTTTCAACGAGTTGAAAAGCAAATTCTGGCTGCTGCTTTGTGAGAGTGAATTTCATTTAAAAAAAAAAAGATAGTTTACCCTGCCTGCTGCAAACATAACATTATCCAAATGGAACTCCAAACCATCAATTCGACTGAATTTGCATTTGATCAGTACTCCCAATCTGGGTTTCATGTTCAGCCTCTAGACAGAGTGCTTGTACGTGTAATTCTGCTACCAAATGTACCACCAGGCTTTGCGCTTACCTGAACCTCTTTAGATCCATCTCTGTTGCAGCAGGAAATATTTTATCGAGGGAACAGTCATCAATGTCTACCGACAGCCAGGAATTACATAGAAAATGCCATTTCTCCTCTGTCTGTAAATCCTGCGCCATGACATTGCCTACATACCTGAGAAAAGGCAAACAATGTAAATGCAAGATGCAATCATGTGACCTCTGCTTTGCTCCACGTGACACCCACAAAAGTCAGTGGAAGACATATTACTTAAAATGACAACTGAATTGCATTTAAAGACCATGTTTTCCTTAAAAAAGCAACAATAATTATCTTTAAGATCAGTGTAATTGGGACCGGATTCACTGTATTCACCTTAATGTCCAATCATTGTGGTGTTCTTGGTCAAACAGTGTGTTTCTAATGACTCAGAAAATACCATAATTGTCGAGATGCCTTTCTTTTGTGTGACATTTCTTTTTTTCCTACCAGGCAGAATGGCTTCCTGAATTGTTGTGCCATAGTCTGATGCCCTGCAGGTCTCCCAGGGAGAAGGGCGTGGTTAGCAGGAACATGTCCACTGCTCCCCTTTCAAACACACGTTTCTTTGAATCTGTCAAGTGGTGAGGCTCGCTGTGTCCTTCTGTACCCAGCAGAGTAACTGTCACCTAAAATAATCAATTTTGTGCATGAAAAGTATAAAACTGAAAACAATACCATTCTGATTCCATATATGAGAGCAATGGTAGCGCCTTAGTACTGGTTTAAACTGTTTCTGGCAATATATTAGGGAAAACTTCAAATAGTAATAGAAATATGGTCTTCATCAACTTTTGTCTGTTTCATACAGTTAGAATAACCACTGTAAAAATAACAATTAAGATTTCACTGTGTGTAAGTGTGAGAGTCTGTGTGCAGTGCTTATGATACACACAGTGCTGTGCATGTATTTATATTTTGCTAGGAAACAGGTTACAGAATTTCATTAAACATGAGCTCGTAACATGCTAACAAGCTCGTAGGTCAGTGTTAACAGCAAGAAAAACATCCCCGACGTTAAGACACACAATGTTTTACCATCGTTTACAAAACTGGTAAGATGTTAGCAACAAGTAGAAAAGTAAGAATTATGGTCTTTTACCAAAATACTTCTATACAGTCTGTTTTATTCGTTTCTTTACTTTCCATCCAGAGGAGTTGCCACCGGTTGGACATAAAAAAATGCATGTTTAAGCTCCACTCTCGTTAACTTTCTTCTTCTTCTATTCTATCTGATGAGATAGATATTAAAGCACGAGCATGTGCCTTTTCTTTAATATGTAATTGCACACATCATTCTGGGAATACAGAAAAGAAAAGACACAAACAATGTACTTTTTCACATAAGGTTACTGAAAGAAAAAAAAAATCACTGAAAAGTTAGTACAGACAGAAAATACGTGTGATGAGATGAGCAGCCTAAGTGATCAGTACAGAGCATGTGCTGAAACCCAAGTGCAAATCTGCCTGTAGCTTAGTGTTAGCAGAACATGCTAAAAAAACACATATATTATTATCTTAGTTCTGGGGCCTAATGTGTCGGCAGAAAGAGCAGGTGTACGAAGCCCACCACCTAACGAAAGCTGAGTATTCACAAGCCTATTTTAGAACTCGGCCTTGAGATGGAGCTGATGGAGCAACCCCAGAAGTCTTTGGTTATTGAGTGCTTCACGGTGTTTCACTGCCAGCGAAACATGAAGAGTTGCTGAATAGCGTATTGTGTGTTTGGGTAACACAGATGAAAAAGTTCTTGTTTGTGGTGAACAGTGTTGATCAAGTTACTTGAAAATAGTAATTAGTTACTAATTACTGATTACTTCTCCAAGATGTAATCCTGTTACTTTACTGATCACTTGTTTTCAAGAGTAATTAGTTACTTTATTACTTAGTTTATAAAAACATGAGACACAACCTCAATACATAATAAAGCGAAAGACCTTTCAGCCCAGTTCTTTTTCTGCATAATCCATCATTATGTAAAATGTAATCAAGTGAAAAAGTGTTACAGCCTGGGTCTCTGACCCAGCGTTTTGTGTTTAGTTTTTGTTGCCTTCAGGTTTCCTAAGTTTATCATTATCATGCCTAGGTGTTTCTAGTTATTTTCCCCTCGTGTTTTCCACTATGTTAAGTCTCCCCTGCTTTCATGTATTTTATGTCTGTGGCGTATGTTGTCATGTTTATATCTCACTGTGTTTCCTGTCTTATTGTGAAGAGGTCTGGTGTGTCTGTGTTCATCGTGTTCAGTTTTACTCTCCCAGTGTCACGTCGTTATGTTCATGTGTGTCAGCTGGTTCCCCATGTGTTGCCACTTTCCTGATTATCCTCCTGTGTCTATTTAGTCCGTGTGCCTTCAGTCATTCGTTGTCAGGTCGTCTGCTCATCCATGTCTCATCTCCAGGTACCCGTGTTAGTTCATTATGGTTAAGGTTTTTCATGTTTTGTTATTAGTTCACCCAGTTTAGGTTATTGTTTAGTTTTCACCCATGCCCTATTATTTTGTACCCTCGTTGCTAGCCTCAATAAATTGCTTGTTTGTCAATCCACACCACGTTTTGGTCTGCGTTTGAGTCCTCCTCTGCAACACATACGGTCTGCCCCAGCCAGACCGTGACAAAAAGTCTCTTTTTAAAATGTGTTTTATTAGTTTTAATCTTTTAACTTTAAGCATCAAGCAAAAATTAAATTATATGCAATATTCTCTGTGAAATGTGTTTAACATTCAAACCTATTTTCTGCATATTCCAGCTTATAAAATAAAATAATGTTTTGTGTTTGCACTCACTCTTTCAAATAAAATCTAAGACTCAGCGGCACTGAGTCCTGTGGCTCTTAAATCTATTTTCATCTATTTAGCAGGAGTGGGGCGGGTGGAGGTTTGCCCGGTGCCTCAGCAGTCATGTCAGTGGGAGGATCCGGGGATTTCTCTGTGAATTTTACATTCCCGTGGCGGTGTGCTCGGTGCTTGCTCAGATTTAATGTTTAATTTTTCGCTGTAGAAAGAAGTTTTTTTTTCCACGCAGAGTGAACAGCAAACGCTAATGTTTTTTCACTTACAGAATCAAACTCAAAGTAATGCCAGTACTTCCAAGCTTTAAACGCCACATGGTCGTACCTTCTCTCCTGCACTCCATATTATTCATTGTTGATCTGCACATGGACGTTGCTGCCACGGACGTCACACGCTCGGACGTCGCACGCTCGGACGTCCTTGTCGTGAGACACGCTCACAAACAAAATCACGGTTTAGTAACACAGTAACGCAGGGTGCTTATGGGAGAAGTAACAGTAATCTAATTACTTTTTTGGCAATAGTAATCCCTTACTTTTCTCGTTACTTGAAAAAAGTAATCGGATTACAGTAACGCTACTGCCCATCTCTGGTGGTGAAATTGTAAAAAGATGAGCTGCTGATAAGCAGACTGAAAACAGAGAACGTGCATCTCATGATGTTTCCACAAGTCTAAAGTAACTTTGTGATAAGTGTGACTTTCACTGAACACATGTACCTGAGAGGAAGTGGAGGCTCCTATACGATGCCCGGTACAGACACTCAACAGGTAGCGATACTCATCCATTGGATCATTGTCCTCCAGCTCTGTCACCTTTACCTGTTATTCAGCCAACAAGCAAAAATATTATATGGACATGAGATGGAGACGCTATTCCCAAATAGAAAAGCTGTTCACATATTAGCGTTCAACTATCTATCTAGAAACTATCTATCTATCCAGAGAGAGAGTTCATGTAAGAATATAGAAGATGCAGAGAGACAAGTGTGTATTTTAGAAGTGGCTGAAATGACCTTAAGCTTCAAGGATCAAACAGATGAGAAGTGAGCTACAAAGTCTTTCTAGCTATTTTCTTTATTCTCTAACTCATACACCTCCAGGTTTTCACAACATCAAGCGTCCCCTGGAGCCTCAAACACAAGTGTTTCCACAGAAAACACCTCAGACCAACTAACATATAAGTTGTTGTTGTGTTTTTTTTAAGATATATAATATTCCTAGGAAACAGACAAGCCTTTTGTTATTTTTAATCTGTTCTTCAGTCCACGAGAGATGCAATACCTTGACTGTGTCTTGAATATCTTTTCGTCTTGCCCACACGAGGACCAAGAGATACGCCAAAAAGAGTGCCGCGACGAAGCACACAACCACAGGATTATCGGCAAAGGTTGCAAATAGCTCAGCAGTGCGTGACGGGTCGACAAGGTTGGGAGTGACAAAGAAGGAGTTCCCAAAGAAGGTGAGGTGGTTGCAGAGGCACTGGGTTTCTAAATGCGTGGTATTGGCACCAACCTTGAAAGACAACAGCTTATATTTCCATTATTGTTTAAGCAACGCCTCACTGTACGTGTAGCAGATTGAAATGTTGCACTTACTCTGCATCCAGATTTGCTCCAGTCCAGTAGTGATTTATTCCAAAATTGACATGAGGTTGTGATGGGCGTAATTGATAAACTGGCATTTATAGATTTTATACCTGGGCCCACTATGGGTCTCACAACAAGATAATGCACTCCAGTGTTGCCCTTTAAATCCTCAGGATGCAGGAGCCATGTGTATTTCTCCTCTGTGCAGGCACACGAGACACAGTCAAATCTCATTCAGTCACATTAGCAGTGGAAAAAATCTTGTCACCACAATTAAGCAAAGGCATTTCTTACCTTGTGTGGCTCCCTGCTGAGGCATCTCTGTTGCCGCTACATACTTTGTCTCAGTAGGGTAGTCATTATAACCAAGGAGGACTTTGAAGGGTAAAGGAACCTTTGAAGGCATCATCTTTAAAAGGTTGGACATGCAAGACAAAATCTTATGAATGCGCAATCTAAAATAAGAACTATATTCCACTTGTATTTCAAGAAAGTTATTTTTTCAGATTTTCCTTCATGAAAGAATAAAGAATATAATTAGTAAAACTATGATTGGCTGCAGTCATCACAGTGCTACAGTGTAGCAAAGATATGAAGTTTTAGGGAGGATAACAGCGTGGCTCTACATATTTGACATGACAATCTGTCAGCGGTTAATCACTATGACATTAATTTACATCAAATAAAGATTCTTCTGATGTAGGTGATGAAATGTGTCAGAAACTGGCACATATACAGGGAGTGCAGAATTATTAGGCAAGTTGTATTTCTGAGGAATAATTTTATTATTGAACAACAACCATGTTCTCAATGAACCCAAAAAACTCATTAATATCAAAGCTGAATGTTTTTGGAAGTAGTTTTTAGTTTGTTTTTAGTTTTAGCTATTTTAGGGGGATATCTGTGTGTGCAGGTGACTATTACTGTGCAGAATTATTAGGCAACTTAACAAAAAACAAATATATACCCATTTCAATGATTTATTTTTACCAGTGACACCAATATAACATCTCCACATTCACAAATATACATTTCTGACATTCAAAAACAAAACAAAAACAAATCCGCGACCAATATAGCCACCTTTCTTTGCAAGGACACTCAAAAGCCTGCCATCCATGGATCCTGTCAGTGTTTTGATCTGTTCACCATCAACATTGCGTGCAGCAGCAACCACAGCCTCCCAGACACTGTTCAGAGAGGTGTACTGTTTTCCCTCCTTGGAAATCTCACATTTGATGATGGACCACAGGTTCTCAATGGGGTTCAGATCAGGTGAACAAGGAGGCCATGTCATTAGTTTTTCTTCTTTTATACCCTTTCTTGCAGCCACGCTGTGGAGTACTTGGACGCGTGTGATGGAGCATTGTCCTGCATGAAAATCATGTTTTTCTTGAAGGATGCAGACTTCTTCCTGTACCACTGCTTGAAGAAGGTGTCTTCCAGAAACTGGCAGTAGGACTGGGAGTTGAGCTTGACTCCATCCTCAACCCGAAAAGGCCCCACAAGCTCATCTTTGATGATACCAGCCCAAACCAGTACTCCACCTCCACCTTGCTGGCGTCTGAGTGGGACTGGAGCTCGCTGCCCTTTACCAATCCAGCCACGGGCCCATCCATCTGGCCCATCAAGACTCACTCTCATTTCATCAGTCCATAAAACCTTAGAAAAACCAGTCTTGAGATATTTCTTGGCCCAGTCTTGACACTTCAGCTTGTGTGTCTTGTTCAGTGGTGGTCGTCTTTCAGCCTTTCTTACCTTGGCCATGTCTCTGAGTATTGCACACCTTGTCCTCTTGGGCACTCCAGTGATGTTGCAGCTCTGAAATATGGCCAAACTGGTGGCAAGTGGCATCTTGGCAGCTGCACGCTTGACTTTTCTCAGTTCATGGGCAGTTATTTTGCGCCTTGGTTTTTCCACACGCTTCTTGCGACCCTGTTGACTATTTTGAATGAAACGCTTGATTGTTCGATGATCACGCTTCAGAAGCTTTGCAATTTTGAGACTGCTGCATCCCTCTGCAAGATATCTCACTATTTTTGACTTTTCTGAGCCTGTCAAGTCCTTCTTTTGACCCATTTTGCCAAAGGAAAGGACGTTGCCTAATAATTATGCACACCTGATATAGGGTGCTGATGTCATTAGACCACACCCCTTCTCATTACAGAGATGCACATCACCTAATATGCTTAATTGGTAGTAGGCTTTTGAGCCTATACAGCTTGGAGTATGACAGCATGCATGAAGAGGATGATGTGGACAAAATACTCATTTGCCTAATAATTCTGCACTCCCTGTATTCGTGGTCTCCAGAGGATGACCTGCAATAGCTGATCTTTTAATGCAAAACTGCCATGTAAAAATTTTCTTTAGCCTCGTCTTGTAGCTACACTTTCTGCTAACAATTAGCAATGTTAGCATGGTCACAAGAAAAAGTCACGCTGAACAGAATGTAGCCTCTGTATGTAATGTAACCATAATATCACTGTCCACTAAGCATGTTTGCTTCTTCTAATTTCAGGAGTCGACATAAAAGAACAAGTCACTGAACCTTTAGAACCAGGGTAGAGTTCACTGAAGGAATATCAATAACCGTTGTGCTGAAGTTCCCCAAGTCCAGAATAGTGGTGTTCACTTGTTCTCCAGCAAACCGTGGAAACATGATCTGAAGTCAGATGTTAGAAAGCGGTTATCCACTGTTTCAAAATGTAGCCACTTTAACATATTTTAAACTTGTAAAATAGTTACATGCAAGTAACATATTAATTAGTACTACTACTACTATTTAAAAGTAGTAATCCCTCCCCAGAATTACATCAGGCCTTTTTCTATTATATAATTTTTTTTGTCATTGAGTGAAAGTATTTGCATAAGTATTTAATCCTCAAGTAAAATATGACTTAGCACTTGGTGGAGAAATTGAAAGCAGTAAAATGTTTCTTGTAGGTGGTCACCACCTTCTCTCACATCTAGGGAGGGATTATAGCCCAGTCCCCTTAACAGAAACTCTCTGAACTCTTCAGGTTTCTTAGCTTCTTCTTGGTGACTCACAGTTTCAGCTCTCTCTCCCTAGATTATCAAATTCTGGAGATTGGTTAGGCCACTCCATGACCTTATTGTGATTCTTTTTTAGCCAGTGTTTTAGCCATTGATAGGAATTCTGGGCAACAGATTCACCATCTTCACTTCTGTCACAAAACTATTCTTAATATGCCTTTCTCAAAAGTCCCCAGAAACAAGTCCTCTCAAAAGGAGATTGAAAACAGTAAGTGTGGATGCTGTAATGTTGCTACACTGACCTGAATATCCTTACTTAAGTTTTCCACAGGGATAACAGACCCTTCTTTTGTTGTGAGGGATAAATAACCTATGAATCTGCTGATGTCCCATCCAACCTTCCAACAAAATGGGTTTACATCTAAGTTCAGCATCTGAAAGTGTAATTCAAAGATCAGGTCAGACATTAGACGTTAGGATGATTGAGCAAAATTGATTTACACACATGTACATATCCACAGCACAAACACTCATAGGCACATGGGTATTGACGTACTCGCACATCCACTGGTTTGTCTGAAGGAAGTATGGTAGTGGGTAGTTGTGGGAGAGAAAATGTGATGCAGGTACAATTGGTAATATTTACGGAGCCTGTGTACAAGACTGCTGGTAAAACTCTGTAAGAAAAGATCAGGAGATCCACATTAAACGTGCTTCTCTTAAATATTAGTTTGCAAGTTTAACAGCTCTGGAATCAATAAACTATTAATATACAAAGTATAATGTGTTTTCATTGCGACTTGGCTACTTGTAACCACGTTATGGTAGTTATGTTAACGACTGGAGGGGACATAAATGTGAACCACTGTCACTTCAAAGAGGCTCAGTAAGAGATCCTTTTACTATATAATGTTGTCAGCATAATAAGCCACTGTAAAAACAAAACTGGATTCAATCTGGATTGTCACAGATTCTGCCTTTACTGTAGTAAACGGATATTTTTAGGACATAGTCACTCCTCAGCGCTTTCATAGGTGCACACAACATTGTTTTATGGAAAATGTGGAAAATGTGAATGTGGCACTTACAAATGTGGATTGCACAAGATGGACATTATATTTCTTCATTTCCATTTAATACTTGTACAGCTGCTGTTATTATGTATATAATATTTATATTTCTTCATACATTCTTATATATTTCTATACTGTGTATTGTGTATTTTGTTGTACAGTTATTCTATTTTCAACTTTAATTTATATATTTTATCTTATTCTTTCCCAGTTAAATTTACCCTTCATTCTAATTTGTGTTGTACAGTTATTTCATTTTTAACTTAAATTTTTATATTTTATTTTGTTTTATTTTATTCCTTCCTAGTTAAATTTGCTCTTTTTAATTTTTATATTTATTTCCTATCTTATTCATAGCTTTTTCATTTTCCTTTAGGTCACGAACAGTTGTGTAAGCATTTCACTACATATTGTACTGTGTATGACTGTGTATGTGACAAATAACATTTGAATTTGAATTTGAAATATCTGTATTTGCTGAATTTTCCATGTGGTTTATGCAGGTTTTCCTTTATTTTGTCACCCATCCGTAGACAGGTGGCTGTAGGCTTCAGCTTTTTAGTATACCAGCATCAGTGAGATTTTTCCAGTTCAAATTTCTGGGACATGTGGTTAATTTTTGTTTGATAACTTTGTCTTGCATTTGAAGTGAAACTTACCTTCTGACAAATACTTTAACGTGCGTTTTCTGAATTATGCTTGAGTCCTCATTGAGCTCCATAAAGACCAACATCGCACTCTGTATATTGTACAGGGCCCCAAGAAGGCCATCTGAGGTGATTTTCTGCAACACCCAACATTTAGAATAAGAAATAAAACTGATTTTAAATACAAAAAGGTTTTTTTTTGAAGAGACAGCAGATATTGCTGGGAAGTGAAATTGATTTGCATATCTAACATTAAAAGCTACCACAATTCCCCAGAGAAATAAACACAATCAGTATCAGCCTCATAAGACTCACACTGGGACAATAGTCGAGCATGTTGCTTATGCCCTCCACAATAATGTTGGCTGTGGCAAAGACTTCAGTTGCGTTTAGATCCATGTGGAGGAGAAATGAACTCAGGGTTGCGAACAATGATGCGGCCCTTTCCTGAAGGTGGAAATTAACTCACAGTCACAGACATGTATTTAGGAGGTGTTATGAAGATATTAACATTTGTGAATTGTCAAAAGCTTTAAAATGTGGTCCTCATATCCCACCTTTAATTTTAGTACAGGGCAGAGTAAAAAAAAAAAAAAACCTGTCCACCAAACATTTACTTCCCATTAAGAAGGGAGCTACAGTGAAAGCAAAATACATCAGTACGCATTGCAGAGAGATGTCTACAGTCCTTA